ACGTAGATCTTAGCCTTACAACTGGAACTGAGAACAGAAGAAGAGCGGGTAGACCGCCAAGAAACAGAGCGGGAGCCAAGGCTGAAATTGTAGCCCTGTAACGACCGCTGCGTAGCCAGGTCGTCAACCCAAGATGCGTCTGCGTGTCTAGTGAGGACAACTGGACCCCGTCCTCCAAGCACGAGCCCCATGCCCGATGTACTGCACAAGTAGCGCAACACCCTCTTAGCGGCCTCCCAATGCTCTGATACCATGTCAGGAAGCTGAACGAGAATGGGATGAACTAAGATCAAAAGTGGGTACAACTACTAACCCCAATTGGGTTGTACCCCTTATGGGCTACCCCACTACAAGCTATACATGCCATCGACTACGTTCGCCCCAAGAGGGGGAACTGTGCTGACGTAAGTGCCTGGATGTCATCTCTGCATCCATGGTTGTCTGCCTGTGAGAGGAGTAGGGACCCGTAATCGACTCTGCGTAAGAGCGCGGGGTCGGTATGTGCGGTGCATCCGGGTCTCCATCAGGGGCAAGCAGCATGGCAACGAGATGAGGTACAACAGCCGCAAGACACTCAAAATCCTCCTGCCTGTCCTCAAGGACGTCCGTGCTAAGAGCACACTCACCCCCGACGCACGGAGGACAGTCAGACTCATACTCAACAACAAGACTAGCGGTGTAGTCGAGATGACACACAGCACCAAAGTCAACAAGCTCAGTGACTAAAGTAGACACAGTGACAAGAGTGACAAGAAAACGAGTGACAGTGGGACTAGCAGCACAAGCACAGTCAGACTCAGGGTCAGGAACGTCTGGAAGTGAGGACGCAAAAGGAGACGGCAGGGGAACTTGCAGTGGAACAGAGGAAGGACGAAGTGCCATAGTGTGAGTGCCCGGGACAGGAGGAGGACGCGGACGAGGAACACGGCAACCAGTGCGTACAGCGCGAACAAGCGAGGCAGGACGAGACGCAGGCTCATGACGCTCTGTAAGAGAGTCTGTCCACTCAGTGTAAGGAGAAGGAGCAGGCAGTGGGGAGTCTGGCTGTAACTGTGACTGCGACTGGTCAGGCGGTGGACATAGTAAGGGAGGAGTAAGGCCAGTAGAAGACGGGAGACTAAGAACCTGGTGAAGTACCGAGCCAGGTGGCGGCAGAGACGACGGCAGCGACTGAACGGAAAACGGTCGCCGCTGCACAGTGCCTCCAGCACCAGTACCTCCAGCTCTAGCACCCCCAGCGCTAGCGCCTCCAGCCCCAGGGTCTCCAGCTCCAGCGCCTCCAGCTCCAAGGTCTCCAGCTCCAGCGCCTCCAGCTCCAGTACCTCCAGCTCCAGCACCTTTAGCTCCAGCGTCTCCAACTCCAGCGCCTCCAGCTCCAGGGACTCCAGCTCTAGTGCCTCCAGCTCCAACGCCTGCAGCACCACCAGCTCCGGCAGCTCCAGTACCTCTAGTACGAGCACCTCCAGGACCAGCAGCTCCAGCACCTCCAGTACCTCCAGCTCCAGCGCCTCCAGCACCAGCACTACCTCCCGAACCTCAAGGACTAGCAGCTCCAACTTCTCCAGCTCTAGTGCCTGTAGCGGCAGGGCCTCCGGCTACAGCAGCGCCACTCCGAAGGCGAGTGCGCCGAGCAAATCCGTCGCGCAGCTGCTGCGGTGAGAGAGGCTCTCGCCGGCGAAACTGCCATGGCGAGGCACGCACAGGACCTCCGGCAGACGCAGTACCCCTAGGCTCAGCACCCCAGGCTCCGCACACTCAGACTCAACACCGCTAGGCTCCTCACCCTCAGACTCAGCACCCCCAGGCTTTGCACCCTTAGGCTCAGCACCCCCAGGCTCCGCACTCTCAGGCTCAGCACCCCCAGGCTCCACACTCTTAGGCTCAGCTGTTAGAATGTTATTATTGTCTAGCCTGCAGTGAGGTACTCTTTAGCGAGTACAACCCAATTAGGGTTTCCTATATGTATGCCAACTGCTGCTAGTGCAATTCCTCCTTTCTTCATTCTTGTTTCTGACTCCTAGTTCTGACATGCTATCAGAGCAGGTCGACCCTCCTGGGTCGATCCTGTGGGTGGGCCCCATCTGTTGCTTCCGCTGCTCTACTGCTGTCGCGCGCTCCGGGCGCGCGACACTTTCTTCCTGCCGTGCGCTCGGAGCACGCGGCGTTTTTCATCCCGCCGTGCGCTCGGGGCGTGCGGCTGTTTTCTGCCCGCCGTGCGCCCCGAGGCGCGCGGCGGTTTCCTGCTGCGCGCGGCGGTTTTGCGTTCGGTCGACCCGCGCGTCCGTCCCTGTCGACCTGCGCGCGGCTCCCCGTCGCCCTTCACGGCGGCCCCGTCGACCCGCCCGCGGCTCCCCGTCGCCCTTCGCGGCGGCCTCGTCGACCCGCGCGTGGCTCCCCGTCGCCCTTTGCGGCGGCCCCGTCGACCCGCGCGCGGCTCCCCGTCGCCCTTCGCGGTGGCCCCGTCGACCCGCGCGCCACCCCTGAGGACCCGTGCGCCCGTCCCCGTCGACCCACGTGTCGCCCTGCGGCCCCCCCCCTCCCCGCACACCTGAGTTTGCTTACCGCACACCCGAGTTCGCTTCCCGCACACTTGTGCACGATTCGCGCACACCTCAGCTCGCTTACCGCACACTCAGGGTATGGGGGTGACGGGTATGGGGGTAGCGGGTGTGTGAGCCGTCCCTTGCTCCTCCTCCTCCTCCGTCTCCCACTGCTGCAGCTGCCGCTGAGGGGGGTGGGTGTGTGGGAGCCGAAGGAGTGGTGCTAGGGAGGTGACGTGGGAGTGGAGCTAGGGGTATTAGCAAGGGGTGTGTGAATGGGGGGTGGGACAGTTGGGGGAGGTTGAGCGGAGTCTGCCGTCTTGTCGTCCGTAGCACCTGTAGTCCGGGGCGCTGTCCTGGTAGCCCAGAGAGCCTGCTGCGCCTGTCGCCCGTGGGTCCGTTGCTTCTGCCGCTCAGAGTTAGCCGCAGAGCCAGTTACTCCCTGTAGTCTGGGGCGCTGTCCCGGTAGCCACTGTGCAATTCCTCCTTTCTTCATTCTTGTTTCTGACTGCTAGTTCCGACATCAGCACCCCCAGGCTCCTCACCCGTAGGCTCAGCACCCCTGGATGCAGCACCCCTTGCAGCACCTGTTGGAGTAGGCAAGAGCTCGCTCTGGCCTTCATTTTGGTGTTCTCTTATCATTCCACCATGCTTAGAGCGAGTTATGCTTCCAGGTTCAATTTATGTCCATTTTGTAGTTATAGTACAAACTGAACACACCCTAAGTTCAATTAGGGTTTCCAATTCCTTTCTAGACTTGTATCTCGACACTTCTTTCCTAATACAATTTCTCTCGCTACCTTCTCTCTTCCTAGCCATCGCTACCACACTCTCAGTTTCAACAGCACCCCCCCCAGCAGCACCAGAGTCTACAGTAACCTCGACAGGCTCAACCAAGGGGAGTGGGTCTACCTGAGACACACCTGAGGGAGCAGAACCCTGCGGGGTGAGGGGGTCTACTGGAGGAGGACCTGGAGTGAGGAAGAGCGGCGGGGGGGGGAGAGGGGCAGTGCGGTAGGGGAAGAGATGGTAAAAGGGAACCGACTCGTCAAACGTGACGTCCTGAGAGGGCAAGACACGGCGCGAGGTTGGGTGGTAAAACTGCCAGCCTGGCGCGTCAGGGGGAAAGCCAAGGAAGACACAGGGAATGGCGCGGGAGGAGAGCTTGTTCACAAAAGTATCGCGCACAAAGGCACGAGAGCCCCACACCTGGAACACCTACGCATCGCCAACCTCCCCCGTCCAACGCAGTGTAGGCGAGGTCTCCGGCAAGGAGACATGGGGCCAAGGGTTGAGCTGATGTGCAGTGTACCGGACCGCAAACGGCCACAGAAAATGGGGAGCAGCCGCATGGATCATGGAGGTACAAGCCACCTCCATGACTAAGCCAATGCGGCGCTCAGCAATCCCATTATGCTGCGCGGAGGCCAGAAGCGTGAACGACTGGAGGATGCCCTCCCCACGACAAATGTTCCGCAAGAGGTCAGAAGAGAATTCACCACCTCTGTCAGAGTGCAAACGCAAGATAGGAAGGTCCTGGCGGAACCGCTCGCGGAGCTGGAGACGGACAGCGCGGATCGGGACCAAGACATTAGGGACCTCCCCCTTGCTGCGCAAGGGGAAGACCGTGGTGTAACGCGAGTAGTCGTCAACAACCAGTAGAAACTAGCGCTCGCGGCCCTATCTATTGACGCGGGCTGGGCCCCACACGTCCATGTGGAGAGTCTGCATGGGAGCAGTCGTTGGGGGAAACGAGGAGGAGTGAGGAGCAGCGCACTGCAGCCCCTCGACGCAAGGAAGGCAGGAGGGGCAGGTGAGGGTGGGAGGGGAGGCAGAGACCTGGGAAGACCAGAGACAAGGAGGCGGGAGTGCATGCCACAGAGGCGTGGCAGGGAGGGGTGACCAAGGCGGTGGTGCGACAGTAGGCGACACGAGCAGGGGGCTGCTACCTGACCTGACGCGGACACCTGACCAGATGCAGCTACCTGAGGAGGCACAGTAGTCAGTATGTACGGACTTGACCCAGGCCGACGGGTGAACGTGGCCAGGTGACGGCCCGTCCGTGTACACGTGCAGATCATCACACGTTGACCCCCAGAAGTGGTGGTACCATCGCATCCTGGAGGGCTGCGGCACTCACCAAGTTCGCAGAAAACAAGGGGAGTTGACGACTCGATAGTGAGCCAGACGGTACCGCCGGACACCGGAGAACAGTGGAGGAACTGTCGCGAAAGAAACAGCGGGATGCACCTGAGCTAAGAGTGAATGTGTGCAAGGCCTCAGCTGGCGCAGTACCAGAGAGAGAAGACTCACTAACACCTAGAGCAGCAGCCTCTATACCTGGGTCGGGCGGCACACAGAGGTAACAGTCAGTCTCAGCACTAACAGTCAAAGCATACATGACAGCAAGGATGGCGTCATAGTCAAGAGCAAATACATCCGCATCTTTCCTAAGCAGCTCTAGCCAGCGGGGAGCTCATACTCGTCGCCAAACTCTGCGCACCAGGCGTTGTTAAGATGAGAGAAGCAGCGGTACTGTGTGTGACCAACCTTCCTGCATGTCTGACTAGCGAATGACGTACGTGCAGCGAACACTACCCCCAGACGTCCCACGCTGAGCAAACCACTCACGAAGTTGCTGGGGCGTAGGGGTCTCGCGTGGACGCTGCTCCTGCTGCCGCTGGCCACCGCCAGAACCTCCCCTCCGAACGGCTCCACCCCGACTGCCACCATTGCCACCGCCACCACTCCCACCGCCGCCACCACTCCCGCCGCAACCACCACCTCCACCACCGACGCCCCCACTCCCACCACCACTCCCACCGCCACCACCACCACCTCCACCGCCTCCACCACCACCTCCACCGCTGCCACCCCCACCACCCTTGCCTCCCTTGCCCTTGCCGCTGCGGCGCCTCCCACTAGTAGCAGACGCAGCCTCGACCTCCTCAGCACGAAGGAAGTCAATAGCAGCAGCAGAAGCGAAAGAGGGAGCTAGGGGAGAGGGGGAACACCCCTCAAAGAAGGGAGTGCGAGGAGTGCCACGAGCAGCACCTACAGCAACTATGCTAGCCTCAGCTGCAAGGAGGTGTTTTTCGAGGAGGTCAACAGTGAGGTCCGTGGGGTCAAGGGCGAGAAGGAGGTTCCCTACTGCGCTAAGAGAGTCAGGGAGGCGGGTGACGATGAAGTAGAGAGTGATGTACATGGGGGGAGGGTTCTTTTCTAGAAACTTGGTTTTAAGCGCGGCGCGGTAGCGAGTGTCGCTAGTGCGAAGGTGGGTGATGAGGTCATCGACTGTGGCAAAGGCTGACAACTCGGAAAAAAGGTAGGACAGTATAAGGCGGCCGAGAGCAGCAGTGGCAGGGGAGGAGTAACGAGTGACTACAGCGTCGAACAGTGCTTTGGCAGTCTTGTGCTGGCCAAAGTGGCAGGTGGTTGCGAACGGCGAGGCGAACAGTAGCGTCACGGGTAAGCCACTACGAGCGAGTCGCATTGTCAGCTGACTCGGGGGGATCGAGAGAGGCTCCAGACGTGTGGTCAAACAACAAGACGCCGTCCCTAGACTCACTCTGTAGGTACAGCTGTAAGTCGTCTAGCCTGGTCTCAAACTGGATTGGACGGTCGTCAAGATCGAAGGTAAGAACAGTGAGAGTAGCCATAGCGGGCGGAGTAGGGTGGCGCGCGACCAGCAGGGCAGCACACAGGCAAGGCAGGGCGGCGTGCACGCACTAAGGAAGCGTGCAGGGCATGGCGGGGCGGCGCACGGCCAGGGAAGGGCGTCGCGTAGGGCAGGGCAGGGCAGCACGGCGGCCAGTAGGGCGGCGCTCGGGGAGGGCAGGGTGGCGCGGCAAGCAGCAGAGCGGCGCGCGGGCAGGGCAGGGCGGCGCGCGGCGAGCAGGGCGGCGCGACGGGCACGGCAGGGCAGCGCGGCGGCCAGCAGGGTGGCGCGCGGGCAGGGCAGGGTGGCGCGCGGCCAGCAGGGTGGCGCGGTGGGCAAGGCAGAGAAGCGCGGCGGCCAGCAGGGCGGCGCTCGGGCAGGGCAGGGCGGCGCGCGGCTGGCAGGGCGGCACGACGTGCAGGGCAAGGCAGCACGCGACCAGCAGAGCGGCGCGACGGGCAGGGCAGGGCGGCGCGCGGCTGGCAGGGCGGCGCGACGTGCAAGGCAACGCGCGGCCAGCAGGGCGGCGCGACGGGCAGGGCAAGGCAGTGCGACTAGTGGGGCAGCGCTACAGGCAGGGACCTATGCGGTGGGCCCTAAGAAAAAAAAAAACGGACTTGGAACAGGACCTGCTCTGAAACCTGTTGAGAACTAAGTCGAGTTTGGCTTAGAAGCCATAGTTTAGGAGTAAGTTTAGTGATCGAGTTGTAGGGTGTAAGGAAAATGTCGAGAGATTTTAGAAGGAGAATGTTGAAACTAGAAAGGAGGGGGATACAAGTAGTAAGCCCTAAAAGGTTTATACTCACTTTTGAGTACCCCACTACAGACTAGACATGCATTATAATCTGACACACCCCCATAGTCAAAGTGGGGTATAATCAGTACAGCATGCAGGCATAGAGCAAGAGTTCACAATAGGAAAGTAAGGCTAGAGCTAATCACAGAGGGCAAGTGAGGAGGAGGAGAGACTGTGGGGGAGAGAAGATGGGAGGCGACTGCTGACGCTGCAGACACACAGACGAGCTGCTGGCTCAGTGGCTACCGAAGCAAAGGCCCGGACTACAGGAGTAACTGGCTCCGCGGCTATAGACGAGCGGCAGGAGCAACTGACCCACAGGCGACTGGCGACTACCGGAGATTGTAGCCTTCGGACTGCTGGTGCTGCTGACGACAAGACTGCTGCCTCCACTCAACCTCCCCCAACTGCCCAACGCCCCTCTCACACACCCCCTGCTCAAACCCTAGCCCTACACCCACAGCACCCCCTTAAACCCTAAACCCCAGACTCCCACACATCCACCCCCCTCAGCGATAGCTGCAGCAGTGGGAGACGAAGGAGGAGGAGGAGGAGGAGGAGGAGGAGGAGGAGGAGGAGGAGGAGGAGGAGGAGGAGGAGGAGGAGGAGGGGACAACACGCACAACCGACACCCCCACACCCACCCCCCCACGGCTGCACCGGGTCCAGGAGCGGCTGCTGCAGGGGCCAGGGGCGGCTCCTGCAGCGGCGGCTGCTCCAGGGGCTGCTGCTCCAGGGGCTGCTGCTGCTGGGGCGGCTGCTCCAGAGGCTGCTGGTGGGGCGGCTGCTCCAGGGGCTGCTGCTGCAGGGGCTGCTGCTGCTGGGGCGGCTGCTACTGGGGCGGCTGCTCCAGGGGCTGCTGCTGCTGGGGCGGCTGCTCCAGGGGCTGCTGTTGCTGGGGCGGCTGCTCCAGGGGCTGCTGCTGCAGCGGAAAGTAGGAGGGAGGGGAGGGGAAGGGCGCGGCCCCCAGGGTGCCCTGACGGGCGACGTGCTAGGGAGCCGCGCAGGCCCCCGAAAGTGCCTCGACGGGCGACGGGAGGGGACCGCGCGCAGGCCCCTAAGGCGCCGCGACGAGGCAACGGGAGGGGCCGGCTCGCGGGCCCCGAAAGTGCCGCAACGAGGCGACGGGAGGGGCCTGCGTGCCGGCCCCCAAAACGCCGCGACAAGGCGACGGTCGGGGCCAGTGCGCGGGCCCCCAAGACGCCGTGACGAGGTAGGAACCCGCCGCGCGCCTCGGGGCGCACAGCGGGCAGAAAACCGCCACGCGTTCCGAGCGCGTGGCGGGAAGAAAAATAGGATGTCGCGCGCCACGAGGCGCACGACACACAGTAGGGCAGCGGAAGCAAGTGGGCCCACAGGCCAGGAGCGTTAAGCTCTGATAGCATGTTGAGAACTAAGTCGAGTTTGGCTTAGAAGCCATAGTTTAGGAGTAAGTTTAGTGATCGAGTTGTAGGGTGTAAGGAAAATGTCGAGAGATTTTAGAAGGAGAATGTTGAAACTAGAAAGGAGGGGGATAGAAGTAGTAAGCCCTAAAAGGGTTATACTTTCTTTTGAGTACCCCACTACAGACTAGACATGCATTATAATCTGACAAAACCATGTCAAGAAACTGAACGAGAATGGGATGAACTAAGATCATAGTGGGTACAAGTACTAACCCTAATTGGGTTGTACCCCTTATGGGCTACCCCACTACAGCTTATACAATATAAGCTTCATAATATTTTGACATGATCTTATATAGAAAATATTATAACAATCATACATCTCGTGTAATCTTCTCGTTCCTCTATATAATCTCCTGCATCTTTGCTTCAATTTCTACTAGATCTTCTGAAGTAAACGACTCATTCTTCGCAAAATCTTAATAAATGCCGTTTTCAATAGCCGGCCCCATGGTTACTTGAATGTCAGAAAATATTTTTTTGGTAGCTTCTGCTATAATGTGCGCGGCATCATGACGTATCACTTCTAAACATTATGTATCTTTGCTAGTCAAGATACGAACTTGGGAAATATTCTCTATAGGTATACTAAGGTCTTTAAGTACGCCATTGATTTCAATAATTAGGGCTTCTTACCTCAATGAAGAAGAAATCGTTTTGGCAATTTCAAAACCGGTTACGCCCTTTTCAAATTGTTTCAAAAGTATTATCAATCATCAGCTCCTTCGCTGTTACCATGCTATATTTAAGGTTATTATGCTGATTTGTCGATTTGAAAGATGTTCTACTTGTAGTATTCGCTACTAGACCCCTCATCTAAATATTAGGAGGCGAGAATGCAGACGCTGATAGTACAGAAAACGCAGAGTTACGCCACGCACAAAGTGAAGCGCGCCACGCCTCGCCTGCCATGGATGAAGAGAACGGAAACACTTCGACCAATGACATCGTGTTGAGCAAGCTCCATTAGTCGATCGACGCAGCAGATACGGTGCTGGCATCAACAACAGTAGTAGCGACAGATGCGACAACTGTCAAACATTATATATGTTGTGTTAGTTTAGGCTACGGTGGGTTAGCCTATAGGGGGTACACAATTCTAGGGTTAGGTACTTGTACTAATTTCACTGCTAGTTCATTCATTCCTGTTCAGTGATTCCAACAACTACTGTCACATTCGCACATGCGAGCGCAATTTGAAATTCACATATCGAATGTCTCGAAAATGGTTTGTATGAAGCTATACAGCCACCGATATTAATTGTTTGGCTTTTGTTTAGCCTTTTTTGCTTTTGTTCAATATCTGAACGATGTGATTTTCATGCATTGGTTGACCGAATAGGCTTTATGGGCACTGTAGAATGGTTGAATAAAATTATCACGAATTATGATGATACCAGCCAAGACTTTCGACAATGTTGTCCAGTTTGAAGATGATGTGTTGTTGGAGTGGGTAAGGTGTGCAGCCAGCTTACTTCATGGTCGACACTGACATGGAGGAGCAAGTCGACTGAGTTTGCTGACTTTGGCAGAGCCAACTTCGGCGCTCAGCCGACTACGGTGAAGGCGGCAACTGCAAAACTGAATTCAACCAACGGCGAAGCCAATGAGATGCTGACCGACAAAGTGAAATCGGCAGACGACGTCGAGCATTGGCGGTCGACAAATGTGCTTGTTGACGTGACGACGACTTACGGGCGTCGACCGACTGTCGAAGTCGGCGCTCGCTGAGCGGCCTCTTTTGATCGATCTGTCAGAGGTCCACTGGTGATCCCCGATTGATCCTAGGGAAGGGTTACAGGCTCGTTGTCCTGGGGGGTTATGGGCGCACTCATCCGCTACACAAACAAGCCCTTCTATCCTAGTGGTTAGTGGTTGGGATTCTGACATATTATTAGGGCAGAGGTCTTGAGTTCGAATCCCAATATGTGCATTGCGGGCATCCTAGTGCAGGGGGGTGTCAGAGGTCCACAAGTGATCCCCGTTCGATCCTAAGGGGTACAGGACCGTTGTTCTAGGGGATTATGGGCGCACTGACCCGCTACTTATGTCAAGAATAATATATATTTCTATATATTGTTTTGTAACTGCCTGTAGTGTAGACTAGTGTAGTTATATAATGTTCTGTTTTGGTGGTGCACCTTTCATCTTGCCTATATGTACTGCTCGCTCTATAGTGAAAACCCTTCTTCTCTTTTCAATTCTCTCGACTCTACTCAACTTACTCAAACTCAACTAGCTATGGCTCCTTTAGCCTAGCTAAGATTTTGACAACTTAACAAGCCCTTGAGTTCCAATTGTCTAGT